GGAGTGGCATCTGCGGCCGCACGTAACAACTTAGAAAAATTGGTATGCTGGGCCGAGAAGCAAGCCTATGCCACGACAGAGATACTTGAGGAGATGTTACCAGATCAAAATAGTCTGCGACATGTGCTTTTACAGGATCAAGCTGATATTGACTACTTGCTTTTGGCTCAAAGGAATGGGTGTGAGGACTTTAAGGGAATGTACTGTTTAAACGTTTCTGATCATAATGAGTCAATTCACAAATCCATTACTTTCCTGAAAGAGCACATGAGAAAGATTCAATATGGTATCAATCCTTTCAATCAGTGGTTCACTGATTTGTTTGAAACGATGCCTAGATGGTTACTGGGATTAGTCAAAGAGGGATTAAGGATTCTGTTTGCTGTGGTGTCAGTCATCATTGCATGTGGTATTGTGATAAATGTGGTTAAAGGCCTACTTGCAAAAATGTTATATTGGGCGTGGTTTGCTCAAAAAAGGAAAAAAAAAAGGGGGGAATTGTTGAGGGATTTTTTGAAACAGCAAAAATCCCATGGCTTGCTGTAGCTGAGCAAACCAAGCTACCAGGGCAACTATGAGAAGTTCCCATGACAGTGTTCCCACATTGCCCAATTGAGGAATTTAGAAAAATATTGTTGCCAGCAGCTGGCTTCAAGGACGGGATCTACGTGATTGCTAATCACAAGGGGGTTGTTTTCTTGCAGGTGGGGTTGTTTTCTTGCAGTTGTTTGTCTGAGTGCTTTTGACCAATAATCTTGTGTGAGACACTATCCGCCCCTGTTAAGTTTGCTATAAAAGTCAGGCTATTCGGGTAATAAAGGAGAGCATGATCTGACCATATTGGTGTCTGTCGTGTTTTCGGCCGATCTTCCTGCAACAGTTTTACTACCCTGTTGTTAAATGCAGCTGGACAAAATGCAAGCCAGCCAACACCAAGGGTATGACCAGCACAGGGCTCTGTGAGAACACACTGCCACTACACACAGGTGCATGTATTCCTATCAGGTCAGCAAATTCTTCAAAAGATCTTTTTGCTCTGTGTTGAGACTTTCTAGGCAAAGGGAAACCTTACTTGCATCTTTCAAGTGCATTAGCAATATAAAAAATTAAGGTGCAAACAGCAGAAGACAAGGTCTGCTGCTTTATAAATGATCACAGCTATACTTGAAGCAGGTCAAGCCACAGAAGCGAGCAGCATTCTGTTGCTGAATGAGCTTGCAAATAGGATCAGTTTTCATTTAATATGGCTTTCCATGACAAGAACATGGAAACTGAAAGCCATTTACACATGAGACTGCCTAGCAGTGCTGTGGGTGGTGGTTTGATGCTATTCATGTCAACTGCCCCCAAAATGCTCAGTTCCAAACGTGAGACCCAAAGAAAGATGACTTTAGAGTTAACTACAGGTAACCTGTCAGGAACATTTTCTAGAGACATACAGCACTACTTTCCATGTCTCACATGTTGACTCCCTGCTGAAACAGGGATAAATTTTATCCTTTTTAAAACAGATTGAGAAGATTTAAAAGCCAAATGACTCTCATTTACCAGCGCAAATCACAGTGAGAACCACTACCACCCGAGAGTGAGAATTACCCTGGCAGTGTTTCTGTCCCCAGCAGCTTCAGGGCTGGACAGAGGTTCAGTCCCCATGGTCACTCAGCCCTCTGCCCAATGCTGCAGTGAGCCAGACTGGGATACGAAGCCTGTTACCCACCAGCTTTTTTCTCCCTCCTCCTTTTGCCTCAGGCATCTTCAAGCCACAAGCAATACAATTTTACCTCCATGTTCCTTTCACTGGATTTCCTAAGATTTCTCTCCCTAGCTCCTTCTTATCCAACACCACCACAGTCCGTTAGTAACTTTGCCAGGAAATCCTGGCAAAACTAAGAGCTTCTAACCCCCAACCTGAAGCAGCAGCCCTGTCTGGCAGCGAGAGCCTGGAGCAGACCCCATCTCTTTCTGTGCAACACACACTTCTCTAGAGGAAGAATCTTGGATTTTACACTTACCTGCTTTACAAAGACCCATTTTCTTGTTTTATTATATGGGGAAGGTTTTTTTTTTGGTAAGTCTAAATCTGTAAATAGGTTTTATGGTCACTTACATATATTGTTTATAGCACATTATCTCTTTTCCATTTTAATCCTGAAGAAAATTGACCAATACTTTGTGGTACATTGAAACCACATATTTTTCAAGCTGGCATACACAGTCGCCACTTCCTTGGTTGGCCATATATGTTCTTTTCTTTTATTTGAATTTTATTTCATGTAGTTCAACTGCAGTGTTTATTTACATGGCAATGACAGAGCATTAATTTTACTGTAGAAGAACAAAAGGATAATGAATGGCAAAACTCCAAGATGCCATTTCACCAATACCACACATCAAATATTTTGATCTACACAAATTATTTGAAAACTACCTCACTCCCAAACCCAAGTAATGACTGAACTTATACTGAAGGATGAGGTTATCACCTTTCATTAATATCTACACTACCTCAGGCTCTTCTTTATTTATGAAGCTTTCAATATTTGGGCTAAAGATGGAGTAATTTCCAGAGACCTGCCTTGCACTTTCTTGCTTCCCTGAACTTACCCTATCTGATGCTACAGAAAGTAGGAAAACATGTTCTTTAAATAACAGGAAAACACCGTCTGTGTTCCCACCTCTTCTTTTGATTCAGGGAGGTGCAACATTTCTGGAGAACAAGTCTTACGAGGAGCGGCTGACGGAGCTGTGATTGTTCAGCCTGGAGAAAAGGTGGCTCAGGGGCAACCTTATCGCTCTCTACAGGTACCTCAAAGGAGGCTGTAGCGAGGTGGGGGTTGGTCTGTTCTCCCACGTGCCTGGTGACAGGATGAGGGGGAATGGGCTAAAGTTGCGCCAGGAGTGTTTTAGGTTGGATATTAGGAAGAACTTCTTTACTGAGAGGGTTGTTAGGCATTGGAATGGACTGCCCAGGGAAGTGGTGGAGTCACCATCCCTGGAGGTCTTTAAAAGACGTTTAGATGTAGAGCTTAGGGATATGGTTTAGTGGGGACTGTTAGCGTTAGGTCAGAGGTTGGACTCGATGATCTTGAGGTCTCTTCCAACCTAGAAATTCTGTGATTCTGTGATTCTGAACATTCCTTTGCTTGTAGCAGCAGTTTTTGTTGAATTGTTTATCTCAGGGTACTGGCCATATTGGTTTTTGTCCCTGGAGTTTTTATGAAGGAACTTGGAGGTCTAACAGAATGAAGAGTTTCTGAACTCTTCAATAAACTATGGTAAACCATCATGAGGGTATTTTGTCTGAGTGTTGGTGAGACATTTCAGTCATGCAGGAGTTAACAGAAGTTAGCAAAAGGCAGAACAGGCTGACAATTAGTCTGGGAAGGCTTTAAATATCTATCCTGGTTTGCTGTGAATCATATAGTGCTTCATCTATTTCTCAAAAGAAAACAAAGACAAAAAGTGAGAGTTTAAAAAGCAGATTAAAAACACATGCGTGCGCGCAAAACAAACAAACAAACAAACAAAAAACTCCAAAAACCTGACAGTATCAACATCAGTAAAACAGTGAACGGAGATGCTGTCAGACCTCCTTTAGACTTTTGGAAGAAGCAAAAGGTGGCCGCAAAGAAGCTTTTTTCCTTCATTTTACATTCAACACAACTCAGGAGAATGTTGGGGCAGACAGCAGCAAAGCTGTGACAGCCAGGCATGGAGAAGCCTGCATGACAGTACTGATCTCTGTGTTGTGCTGTGCTATAGACTGGCAGTGGAGATGCCCCGATCATTCCAGCTCCATAACACTACGTTCAATAAATGAATGTAGTTCATCTTACTGTGTCTTCTAGGTTGTCCCAATCTATGTGGGATTTTTTTCTAAAAGCACATTTTCCCCTGTTGCTGCCAGTGTAATTCAAAAGGCTTTAACTGATAGGTCTTTTACCATTTCCCTGTGTATGCAGTTCAGTGTTCTGGTAGCTTTATGAAAACCCTTCTAATTGACTATTTTGTTTTCTTTTATTTAACACATGGCCAGCACATTCCATAACTCCCAGGCAACACCCTGTCGTGGTTCCGCTCGAGTGGGCAGCCGAGCTCCACCACAGCCGCTCTCTCACTCCCCCTCCTCAAAGAGGAATGGGGAGAAAATACGATGAAAAGGGCTCAAAGGTTGAGATAAGGACAAGAAGATCACGCTGTAATTATTGTAACGGGCAAAACAGACTCGGCATAGGGAGATAGTAAGATTTATTGCCTATTACTAACAAGCTAGAGAAGTGAGAAACAAAGGAAAGAAAACAAAAGCACCTTCCCCCCCCATCCACCCTCTTCCACCTCCTCCCCCCGAGCGGCGCAGGGGAACGGGGAAATGGGGGTTATGGTCAGTCTACAGCGCTTCTTCTCTGCCGCTCCTTCTCGGTCACTCTCGTCCCCTGTGCTGTGGGGTCCCACCCACGGGATACAGTCCTTGATGAATTGATCTGGCGTGGGCTTCCCACAGGCAGCAGCTCTTCCAGAGCTGCTCCAGATATGGGTCCGTACCACGGGGTCCATCCCTCAGGAGCAAACTGCTCCAACCTGGCTCCCCTACGGGCAGCAGCTCCTGCCAGGTCACCTGCTCCTGCGTGAGCTCCTCTCCATGGGCTACAGGTCCGGCCCAGAATCTGCTCAGGCAAGGGTCTTCCACAGGCGGCAGCCTCCATCGGTGCAGGGCCACCTGCTCCACCATGGTCTCCTCCACGGGCTGCAGCGTGGAACCCTGCTCCTCCGTGGTACTCCATGGGCTGCAGGGGGACAGCCTGCTTCACCATGGTCCTCACCACAGGCCGCAGGGGACTTCTGCTCCGGCGCCTGGAGCACCTCTCCCCCTCCTTCTGCACTGACCTTGGTGCCTGCAAGGCTGTTCCTCACTCCTCTCACTCTCCCAGCTGCTGTGTGGCGCAGCATTTTTTTCCCTGTCTTACGTATGCTCTCACAGAGGCGCAAAACAACATCGCTTATTGGCTCAGCTCTGGAAAACAATGGGGCCCTTACCAAACATGGGGCAGCTTCTAGATCCTTCTCACAGAAACCACCCCTATGGCCCCCTGCTACCAAAACCTTGCCACATAAACCCACTACACACCCCATTCATCAGACATGGGGCAAGAGCCCTCTTAAACAACCCATTTCAAGATGAAAAATCCAAACTGTTATTTCCACTCCTTAAACACGCTCCTTAAACTCCAAATCAATTCTCCAGCATCAGCTAGAACCACAAAAACATGTCCATAAATTACCCTGCCTTCAAAAGCCTCCAAGAAGCTGGTTAAGAACACTGACATCCCTGTACCGCCAGAAGTTCCCAACAGGTTTCCTGATATCCAGCCATTCCTTCCTGCAGAGAGGGAGTGTGGCACAGGAAGTGGTGTAATGGCTCTGTGCTAGAAGACCCCCTCCCTTCCAACAGGCTTTAACAGATTTTTATTAGATCTGGGATCAAAGTTCACTGGGAGGCAGAGATACCCCCCATTTTCTACTCCTGATGACGCACTGTTTTCAGTGTTATCAAATCCAGATACACCAAAACAGACATCCAGCTTCAGATTTTCTCTACAAAAGACCTGCTTAGGAAGCCTGAAAAGCTACAGCAGATGTTCCATCAACCTCAGTAGAACTAAGCCAAAAATCCTGGCAAGATAACTGAGAACATACTGCTCCCGCTTTTAACAGTCCAACAACAACCCATGAATAACACCAAAACCACAGATAAATGTCTTACTGAAGACAGGGAATGATGCATTTCCTTTCAATGCCTGGAATTCCTGTTCTAGCCTCCTCTGTAAGTCAATTTGTTCAAATTTGTTCAAACCTTCTGGAGTTCCTCTAACAAAGAGAAAAGTGCTTTTACTAATCTGTATAAATAATTCTTGAGTTAACAGTCGTAAAGCAATTCATTACTATAAGACAAAATATTTTAGCAGTCATTAAAAAAGCGTTGCATAGACCTACAAGAACAAAAGACCTCCAGAACAAAAATGCCCCCTATTACACTTATATTCTATTAAAACAAAGACTAGTTTTATAACATAAGAGGCCCTTATTTATTTTACCTTTCCCCATGTTTTCTACATCCTTCTTCAGTGAATGATGTGAATTGGTTTCTTGTGTGTGTTCACCTTAAAAAAAAAAGAAAAAAAAAGTTACTGATTTACCGATACTGCTTTCCACCAGTATTGTCTTTATTATGCAACTGCTTTAGAGAATATGGAATGAAAAAGGAAAAAAAGATACAAAGAAAGAATAAGATTAGGGTTTCCTTACAGCATCCAAGTGTCATTCACAAACAGGACAAGCCCTGCCTGAGACCAAAGACGTTTTTCCTCATACGGGCTCTGAAACCCCAACTGGGTACCACCTGCACTCCTCTGAAGCTCTGGCTCCTCTCAGGGTCTCAGGCATGCTACTGCACACTGCTCTCTTGGATCCAAAAACACTCTGCCAAATTTTACTTCTTGGACACATTTTGTGAGTACAGCACATTTTCATGTGCCTTGTAGAAGCAACTGCAGGACTTGCATTTGCTTCTAGTTCAGTAAAGTGTTTACCCAATCACTGCTTCCTGCAGGTGAGACTTGAGGTCTCCATGATACCAAGGAGAGTTCCTCTTCCACGTATGCTGCCAAACTGGTCCACGTTTTCATTCCAACCCCTCCTGAAGATGCTCTTATCGGAGAATGACTAGAAGTGAGCTGAGAAAGGGGCAGAGCTTTGTCTACAATCTCATCTCCTCTCTTCACAACAGGAAATACATGCTTTCTAGATGGGTAGGATCCTGTTCCAGAATCCACACGCAAAATCCTTTTCCATAAGCCTCTTCGCCTTCCTTGTCTCTTTAACTTTATAATCTTCTATAGCTCCATGCCAAGGAGCATGTTGTTAATTAAAAAAAAAAAAAAGGCGATCGGCTCTGGGGCAGACGTGTTCTGCAGCGGAGTGGGGAATCGGACAGGCAGGGCTTTTTTTTTCCGGCATCGAGCCCACTTGAGGAAGCCGCCAGGAACCCGGCAGACCTCGCGAGGGAGGCTGACGAGGCGTAGGCGGAGCCAGCAGCGCCCCCTCCACGGCCGTTCAAAAGGTGCCCCTAGGGAGCGCGGGCGATCAGGGACTGGCGCGGCAGTTCATGTGGCAGCAGAGCAGAGCAGAGCGTTCCCCCCGCCCATACAAACAACTCCTCTAACGGCGGTCTATTGCTACCTAGGCTGCAATGGTCTCCACCAGGCACAGTGCTCTCTCTAGGAAGTCTGTACGCATCCAGACTGACTGCCAGCTCAAAAATGCAGCAGTTCAGGTCTCTGGATGCAGGGAGTGTCTGAGCCTTTTGCTACCATCTATGGGAGGCAGAGAGACTGTATGCGTGAGGTGGGAGCAAGTGGATGACCTGGTCCACACGGTGGCAGAACTCAAGGAGGAGGTGGAGAGGTTGAGGGTTATCAGGGAGTGTGAGCAGGAGATAGACTTGTGGAGTAACTCCCTGCAGGGCCTCAAGGAGAGGTACCGGGGTGAGACACTGTACTGGGTCTGGCTGGAATGTTAACTTTCCTGGCAGCAGCCCATACAGTGTCATACTCTGTACTTGTAGCTGGAACAGCAGTGTTATCATACCAGTGTTGTGTCTACTGCTGAGCAGCAGTGGCACAGTATTGGGCCTTTCTCTAACCCTCCTAGGGGGTGGGCAAAAAGTGAGAAGAGAAACATCACTAGGGCAGCTGACCTAAACCAATCAAAGGGATATTCCATACCATGTGATGTCACACTCAGCAATAAAAGGTGGAAACAGGAAGAAGAGGGGAGGGGTGGGCTCTCGTTGAGAAGATGTCGGTCCTCCTCTCGAACACTGGCTGCGTGCGTTGAGGCCTTGCTTCAAGGACGTGGTCAATCATCTCTCATTTGTGGGAAGTAGAGAGTAATTTCTTTCCTCTGCACTTCCGTATAGCTTTCATTTATTTTGTTTGTTTTCCTCCCTTCTTTTTATTTTTCCTTTTCCCCTTTCCCTTTTTATTTCCCCTTAGTTAAATTGTTTAGTTCATGGTAGTCTTTATTTAATTATTATAATTATTTCCCTTTAATTAAATTATCCTTATCTCAACCCGTGAGTTGTTCTTTGCTTTACTTCTCCCCCTCCTCATCTAAAGGAGGGGGAGTGAGAGAGCGGTTGTGGGGTTTAGCTGCCCAGCACGGTAAAACCACCACAGACACCCCAAATGGGGGTGGACCCCCTGCCCTGTTGTTGTCGGGCAGAGAGAGGGGACCTAGGAGTTGAGGAATGGAGACAGGTCCCTGGTCGACATCGAAGGTGAAGCCCCCCCTGCTGGACCCACCTTCCCAGGTGCCCTTACACAACAGGTTTGAGGCCCTGGAGCTTGAGAGACCGGTAGGTGAGGAAGAGGTAGAAAGTGTTCCCAGGAGGATGCCTAGGGCGAGGAAGTCAACTCCCCGCCTCAGGACTGCTTCCACCAAGAAAGAAAGAAGGGTGATTGTTGTAGGTGACTCCCTTCTCAGGGGAAAAGAGGGCCCTATTTGTCAGCCTGACCCTACCCGTAGGGAAGTCTGCTGCCTCCCTGGGGCCAGTGTCAGGGACATTGCCAGAAAGCTTCCCAACCTGGTTCGCCCCTCTGACTATTATCCTCTTTTAATAATCCAGGCTGGCAGTGATGACATTGAAGAGAGAAGCATGAAGGCTATCAAACGGGACTTTAGGGGGCTGGGACGATTAGTGGAGGGAGCGGGAGTACAGGTGGTGTTTTTGTCTATCCCTACGGTGGCAGGGAGGGGTATGGAGAGGACACAGAAAGTCCACCTGATAAACATGTGGCTCAGAGGCTGGTGCCAACACAGAAATTCTGTTTTTTTTTGACCATGGGGCGCTTTACTTGGCACCCGGCCTGATGGCTGCAGACAGGTCCCTATCTCTAAGGGGAAAATGGATACTTGGCCAGGAGCTGGCAGGGCTCATTGAGAGGGCTTTTAACTAGGTAGGAAGGGGGACAGGGCTGAAACGAGGCTTGTTAGAACTGTGCCAGGGGGAACAATGTCAAGGCTGGGAAAGAAGGCAATGGCCCAACTGAAGTGCATCTACACTAATGCACACAGCATGGGTAACAAACAGGAGGAGCTGGAAGCCATTGTGCAGCGGGCAGGCTACGACTTGGTTGCCATCACGGAAACGTGTTGGGACCACTCTCATGACTGGAGTGCTGCAAAGTCTGGCTATAGGCTCTTCAGAAGGGACAGGCAGCACAGAAGGGGTGGTGGTGTGGCTCTCTATATTAGAGAGTGTTTTGATGTTGTGGAACTTGAGACTGGGAATGATAAGGTTGAATCCCTATGGATTAGGATCAGCAGGAAGGCCAACAAGGGAAGCACCATGGTGGGGGTCTGTTATAGACTGCAAAACCAGGATGAGGAGACTGATGAGTTGTATAGGCAGCTGGCAGAAGTTGCGAAATCGTCAGCGCTTGTTCTCATGGGGGACTTCAACTTCCCTGACATATCCTGGAAGCACAACACAGCCCAGAGAAAGCAGTCTAGGAGGTTTCTGGAGAGCGTGGAAGATAGCTTCCTGACGCAGCTGGTTAGTGAGCCTACCAGGGGAGGTGCCCCGCTAGACCTTCTGTTCACAAACAGAGAAGGACTGGTGGGAGATGTGGTGGTTGGAAACTGTCTTGGGCAGAGTGACTGTGAAATGGTAGAGTTCTCCATTCTTGGAGAATCCAGGAAGGGGACCAGTAAAACCGCTGTATTGGAATTCCGGAGGGCCAACTTTGAACTGTTCAGGACACTGGTTGGTAGAGTCCCTTGGGAGGCGGTTCTGAAGGGCAGAGGGGTCCAGGAAGGCTGGGCACTCTTCAAGAAGGAAATCTTAATGACGCAGGAGCGGTCTGTCCCCACATGCCCAAAGACAAGCCAGCGTGAAAGAAGACCGGCCTGGCTGAACAGAGAATTGTGGCTTGAGCTTAGGAGAAAAAAGAGGGTTTATAATCTTTGGAAAAGAGGGCGGGCCACTAGGGAGGACTATAAGGATGTTGTGAGGCTGTGCAGGGACAAAATTAGAAAGGCCAAAGCTCATCTGGAGCTCAATCTGGCTACTGCCGTTAAAGATAACAAAAAAAGCTTTTATAAATACATCAACACAAAAAGGAGGACAAAGGAGAATCTCCATCCTTTACTGGATGCGGGGGGAAACTTAGTTACAAGAGATAAGGAAAAGGCGGAGGTGCTCAATGGCTTCTTTGCCTCAGTCTTTAGAGGCAAAACCGGTTGTTCTCTGGATACCCAGTCCCCTGAGCTGGTGGAAGGGGATGGGGAGCAGGATGTGGCCCTCACCATCCACGAAGAACTGGTTGGCGACCTGCTACGGCACTTGGATGTGCACAAGTCGATGGGGCCGGATGGGATCCACCCAAGGGTACTGAGAGAACTGGCAGAGGAGCTGGCCAAGCCCCTATCCATCATTTATCAGCAGTCCTGGATATCGAGGGAGGTCCCAGCTGACTGGCGGCTAGCGAATGTGACGCCCATCTACAAGAAGGGCCGGAGGGCTGACCCGGGGAACTACAGGCCTGTCAGTTTGACCTCAGTACCAGGGAAGCTCATGGAGCAGATCCTCTTGGGAGTCATCATGCGGCACTTGAAGGGCAAGCAGGCGATCAGGCCCAGTCAGCATGGGTTTATGGAAGGCAGGTCCTGCTTGACGCACCTGATCTCCTTCTATGACAAAGTGACGCGCTGGGTGGATGAGGGAAAGGCTGTGGATGTGGTCTACCTTGACTTCAGCAAGGCTTTTCCCACAGCATTCTCCTCAAGGAACTGGCTGCTCTTGGCTTGGACTGGCGCACGCTTCGTTGGGTTAGAAACTGGCTGGATAGCCAGGCCCAAAGAGTTGTGGTGAATGGAGTCAAATCCAGTTGGAGGCCACTCACTAGTGGCGTTCCCCAGGGCTCGGTGCTGGGGCCAGTCCTCTTTAATATCTTTATTGATGATCTGGATGAGGGGATCAAGTTCACCCTCAGTAAGTTTGCAGATGACACCAAGCTAGGTGCGTGTGTCGATCTGCTCGAGGGTAGGAAGGCTCTGCAGGAGGATCTGGATAGGCTGCACCGATGGACTGAGGTCAACT